CTGAGGGCACTTGTGGGACCAACCTGGAATTTGAATATTTTTGACCTTGTATGACCCAAAGTTCATGACCTAGGAACCTCAAACTTTGACCTAAGTGAGTTCACGTACAGGTCAACATACGCTGTGAATTTGGTGTCCCTAGCTCTCATGGTTCTCGAGATCTCAGGAGGGGGGCTCAAATTAACCCCTCCCCCCAGAGCGAAGGGAATCCAGCCGGCCACCCGAGCGCGTGTTAAATCGCTGTGCATGAACATGGACAACGTTTTGTTTATGCACGCAAACTTTGCCGCGCCAGCACGCCCTTGGCAGCACGCGACTTCAAGGATACAACGCTTTCATCTCTGGCCCGTGGCATCGCAGATGGCTGGTAACTCGGCAGTAGCTGTACGGTGGTCGTGGAAGGCACTTGTCGGGGTGCCTGCTAATTGGTATTGCGTGGTATGGATAAAATTAGCCGCGGTATTTAGCTCCGTTACTTATTGTATGTATTGGTGGTGCTTCACAACTTGTTTAGGAAATCGACGGCTGATGTGTAAAACTGATTGACTTGATGACTACCCCAATTTGGCGCGCATGCTGATCTTTAGTTCCTGGCACGCTCACCTACATTGTTAGTGATTTTATTCGGTTGTTCCTCCTCCCTCTCACATTGCGAATTTCCCCATACGCTTCTGGAAACAGGAACTATCCCAAGCTCCACATATCTTTACTCTCAAGTGTAGGGGAAGGAGGAGGGGGAATGTCTCATCAGCTGAATCTGAAAACTATTCCGGTTAGACGCGCCCAATGGCCCACCCTACGAACAATTAGTTCCTTCAGTTACATACGTTTAAAGCGGGGGCGTAGTTTCGCAAAATAAGTCGTTTCGCAGAGCGGCAAGAAAACAAGAAGAACTGGCCCCATAATATGCCAACATAAGGGTTCTCTCCTAATTTGGCTCACTTTACCTCAAAGCTGCAGGGTAGAGCCCAAGTTGCGGCTGGGGTAGATAGGCCCCGTGCAACTTAGCAGTGAACTGCACTCCTGGTTGCGAGGAAATGAGAAGTAAAAAACAAACGTTGACTGCGCATGCATTTAACTGCCTACCAACTGGAATGCAAATTGTTTAAAAAACATTGCCCAATGAAGTCTTTGAACTGGACGAATTGATTTTTGAAGATATTGAGAAACACTTTTTACGACGGTCAGTGTCGCGCGTGCTGCTCCAGCCCTGGCGTTAATTGCAATAGCCAACGCCGTTCGGGTTTACGAAAACTGCGACCCAAGCCATCGCTCTCCTTGCTCCTCGAGATTATGGGTGTGTCATTGGAGAATTATGACGCACTCGGCCGCTGGGACTTCGTGGCGCCGCTTGTCTCCCACCCTGGCGGGACAGGCGGGCTCCGTGGGGAATTGAACCCCGCACCTGCGAGTTCCCAGACGCGCAGTAAGTTACCCACTACGCTTCGGCACCCGGCGCGCAGTTTCAAATTTTTCATGATATTCGTTTCATTAGTCAATTCTGCAAATTATAAACATTTTCAGGGAAACATGGGATGGCATTGTGCGTTTTTAACTCACTTCGACCCCTTCTATTCAACACTAATGAAACCTCCTATTTCCGGTAAAGGGTACAACATTACCGGGCACATTGCTGTTCCCGGTCAATGGCAACAGGGACATTCTGTCCCACCTCGATGTGTTTCCGGCCGTCATTCCGGCCACCCGGGGCTGCATCCCCTGGCCTATCCGGAGGCCGTTGAGGGGATACATCACATCACATTGGTCCACTCCCCGCTACAGCCCTTACATTCAATCCTCACAGTGGCTGGGCACTTTGTCGTAGCCAACCAATGTCTCCGTTTCCCAGTCCTTACGTGCTTGGGTGACACGATGGATTGAGCTCGCGTCAAGTCATTGCTCCCCTTCCCCCTCCCTCCCCCCAGCTGCGTTGTCGTCACGTGTTTTTTTAGCTGGACCTCAGCGCGATCGCGTCACCCTGGTGGCCTCGCCAGATGGCGGTGACGTTACTCCACTGACGGGGACGGGCTGTGACTCGGCGGCGCCGGCCGTCCCGCCACGCCTCTCCGGTCTCGGCCTCGCCGCCGGGTCACCAGTCCACTGTCGTCGCCTCGTCCCCGGGTCACGACCCGGCGTCCCCCCGTCGATCCGACGTCGTGACGTGACGGTCGGCCCCGCTGCGGGCAGTGCGGTGACGCCGGTGCTGGCCGCCTTTCGGCCGGACGCGCTGGTGTGCCAGTGCGGCGCCGACGGCCTGGCCGGCGACCCGCTGGGCACGTTCAGCCTGACTCCAGCCTCGCTGGACCGCTGCGTGGCGCGCCTGCTGGCCGCCCACCGGCCGATCCTGCTGCTGGGCGGCGGCGGCGGCTACCACCCAGCGAATGCGGCACGCTGCTGGGCGCAGCTGACGGCCCTGGTGCTGAGCCGCCGTCTGCCTGACGATATCCCGGAACACCAGGTGAGGCGACAGCCGTGCCCCCGGACCACCAGGTGAGGTGGCAGCCGTGCTCCCGGAACACCAGGTGAGGCGGCACCCGTGCCCCCGGACCACCAGGTGAGGCGACAGCCGTGCCCCCGGACCACCAGGTGAGGCGGCACCCGTGCCCCCGGACCACCAGGTGAGGCGGCAGCCGTGCTCCCGGAACACCAGGTGAGGCGGCACCCGTGCCCCCGGACCACCAGGTGAGGCGGCAGCCGTGCTCCCGGAACACCAGGTGAAGCGGCACCCGTGCTTCCGGAACACCAGGTGAGGCGGCACCCGTGCTCCCGGAACACCAGGTGAGGCGGCACCCGTGCCCCCGGACCACCATGTGAGGCGGCAGCCGTGCTCCCGGAACACTAGGTGAGGCGGCACCCGTGTTCCCGGAACACCAGGTGAGGCGGGACCCGTGCCCCCGGACCACCAGGTGAAGCGCCAGCCGTGCCCCCGGACCACCAGGGGGGGCGGGATTTGTGCTCTCGGAACACCAGGGGAGACGCCAGCCACTTGCAATAGTACCAGCAGCGACCAACGCACATTGCACAGTGTGTGCGACTTTACTTGAATATTTTGATATGCTATTATTTTTGAGTACTCTGTAACTATGAAAAGACACGTGACAACATGTCGAAAGGTCCGTTCCAAGACATTTGCTACCTTTTTCAGTTCTTCATGAACTACGGACCCAGCTATGATCTGGCTATAATTCCAGGCTTAAGGAAGGACAACAACACTGCCGAATATCCAGACCATCCGCCGGAGAGTCAGTGGTGAGATGCACCACATGGCACATGTGAACGATTGCACTCAGGGGTAAAGCAGACCAACTATATTGCTTTTGCTTTTGGCTATGCTTCTGTCGTTCTTGGTTTGAGCTGAGTCCATATTTTTTGGTGGCGCCGTGTTTTATGGTGTTATGTCAGTTAATTCATCCCGCAAACCGGTCATAGCGTTAAGATAGTCGTAGTGCCCACGGATCAGCACACCAATAGTACCGTTATAAGGCTCCAAACAAATCTATTATCAGGAAAACAACCAGTTCCCACGCCAATGTTTGGTTTCGCTTCCTAATAAATGACACCTGTACCAAATGTACCAGAAACCAAACGCTATCTAGTTTTTTTCACGTCATGCGATGTTCACGTCCTCCAGAGAACATGCAGAACGTGGAGAACCGAGTCCTGAGCATTGGGGCGTCAGGAGCGAGGCAGCGGGGTGACGGCTACCCATGCAGTGAGGCAGCCTGCAGTGCGCCGCTCGGTACGAGACTGTGATACCCATATCATGCTTCCTATCCAATTTGCCAGCATCTAGCCGGTTGTGCCGCACTGTTGCTTTCCGGGTCAGAGCGCCGCAGGCATTCAGGTGCATGCTTATCGTTCTTCACCGCGCAAACAACGTCGAGTCATCCCTGGTGATGCTGCGAAAGATGATATGCATGCGTGGTGATCAGGGTCGGAAATATACCATGGAATCCCTGAAGATAATTGTATTCATTAATGACGTCTGTGCATTCGGCGTGGGCATATACAACACCAAGGTAACATGTGTACGTATGCAATATATTCTATCAGCCTAGAGTCTGTTTCCACCATAGCAGCGAAAGCTTTCACTGCTTACGGCGTTGTTGTCTGAATCATTTCATTATTCTGTTTTTTCAAGGGATGGGGACGATAAAGGCTGATGGGTGTCGCCAGATAATTTAAGAATCACCAACTTTGTTCCTTCTCCCGGTCGCCTGTTTTCTTCGATTTCTGTTACAGTTTCCCACTGCAGATTCGGGCCCACTGCCATGTAATGTTTTCTTTGCGGATTGCGACTCCACATTTCCAGCACACGGCCCGGGCACGTGACCGCGACATATCTGCCGAGAGCGCGAACAAGTGGGTGCCTCTGTGCCAACTGATGCAAAGAAAAGGGGCAAATTCTTGCCAGGACTGGAAGAAATGCCTTATAACCAGGCTCGCAAAGCAGGAATGCCCGTGTTTAGGGGTCTTGAACGCGCGCCACGGCGAAACGTCTGACATCATCAGCGAAGGCTGGTTCGATGCATCGGCTACTGCGCAAACGTGGAAAGAAAGGGTGGCGGATGAGGAAACAGGGAAAGTTGCTCCTTTCCCCCCGCACTGCTGAGATAAGCATTTCATTAAATACGTGGCGGTGCATGGGAAGAAAGTGATGCACAAATTGACCTTGGCTACCCTCCCCCATCCACACAAAGCTTTCTCCACCGCTGTTCGGGTGGAAATGACACGTTTTCCGGAAGGTGCGTGATTTCCCTATTGCGACGAGATGGGCAGTATGGCTTCTGGACTAGTTGGAACGCGTGAATTGGCTTGAGCGTAACTGCGGGAAATGAGCTTCTCAGGCAGACATATCAGCATTCCTGCAGAGACCTTAATAGCCAAGGGAAACGCATTCGGTGCATTCCGCTTTATGTGCTGTTCGCATTGCTTGCTTGCGCCTTTGCTTGGCTGGGTTTTGACGTCTTCCGTTGATACGCCCTTTGTGGAGTTTTGCG